TCGGTTTCACTAAAAATAATAAATATTGCCCTGTTTATTCAAAGTGTGCCTTGTTATCCTGCAGGCCAAAAGTTCAGATAAACACTATTGTAAATGACAAAATATTAGAACTTTTTGTTACTTATGCTATGATCTTTCCGTTGGACACCAATAGAACTGTTTTTTCCTCATATAAGTTCCAGCCCTGATAGTGTATAACACTCCCTGAGACTAGAATACTGGATTCATTTGCAGGTCAAAGGGAGGGTAGTTACCTTTCAAAATCAAAAGCAAATGCTTATTGAGGATTCTATACTAAGTATTATGCTACACTTCAGAGCTAAAAAGATGTGATACCTGCCCTAAAAGAGCTTACCATCTAGTGAGGGGCGGGGAAACATATATTTAACATAAGATGATATAATAAGGAAATCACTAATACAAGTATGCAGTGGGTACTATAATAACATGAAGAAGAAGGGGGGGTCCACTTAGCTCAACCTAGAGTGTCACGGAATTTTACTATGGGACACAAAAAGAAAAATAAGTGAAATTAAAAGTAAAGGGAAAATACAGGCCAAGACTGGCATGAGAAGGAGACTGGAGGCACAAAATACCATGGTATGTTATAAGAAGTGTGAGCGTTGTAGATATCAGTAGAGCAAGGTCTGAACAGCAAGAAATGCGGTTGGCATGAGAGGAAAGCCCTACGCACATCTATGGGGTCTATAGTCTTCTCTATTCCTGTATTTTACTCCATAGATGGCCCATTCACAGATCTTAAGTAGATAACTTATATGCCAGATTTGTACATAAGATGATGAGGAGATGCACCTTATCAAAGGTTCAAGACATCAGGTAGGAAGGAAGACCAGTCAAGAGACTGTTTTTGAAATTCTTGATGAGAATTCTTGGTGCAATTCTTGATGAGAAGAAGAAAGCATCTGCAATATTCGGTGATCTGGACAGTTACCTGCATATGTATGTGTATGCCTACATGAAGCAGAGGACCTCAAAAAGTTCATGTAAAATTCCTTGATTCTTTTTTTGACTGCTGATAGAGTTTATGGATAGCATCACATATCCTGTCTCTTAAAGACATCAACCTAGAATCTCATTTTCTTCTTTTAATTTTTATTAAAAGATCATTGGGGACTCTTACAACTCAATCCACACATCGATTGCATCAGGCATGTTTGTACATATGTTGCATTCATTCTTTTCTAGACATTTACTTTCTATTGAGCCCTTCCTTGGTATCAACTCCTCTTCCCCCCGCCATAACCCCTTGATAGAATCATTATTATTTTCATATCTCACTCCAACCACTGTCTCCCTTCCCCCATGTTTTCTGTTGTTCTTCCCCCTGGAGAGGGTGTGTGGTTATATATGCAATCAGTTCCTCCTTTCTCCCTTCCTCTCCCTCCCCTCCCCACCCCCGCCCTGGGCCCTTCTGGTATCTCTATTCCTACTCCTGTTCCTGTATTCCGTATCTTTGATCTTTTAATTCCATTTTTCCATGAACTTTTTGAAGCCCCCTCATACCTAAAAGTGTTTGTGTTATGTATACCTGCATATGTATACATATATGTGAATTTACATATATATACATGTACATATGTATATATCATAACAGCATATATATCATGAGGATATAAAGAAGAGAAGTGGGACAAGGGGAGTTTCCTGGGAATATTGAGTACTATAAAAAAGTAATAATAATAAGAGATAGAGCTCACAGAGACCAAAACAAGCAAAAGTACTCTAAAGGAAGACAAAGGATGATGAATTTCAGGTATAAATGATCAACAAAGGCAAAAGCTACAAGGTTCCTAAGACAGGAGTAAGAAAACAGAATCACATAGAATGGTAGATGAGCAAGAATGAAGAATGAAAACATAGATAAATATGAAAGAGAAAGGCATGAGAGGAACGTGGTTTTTTCTTCTCAGTCTTGTTTTTCTTTCCCAGCTGCTTTGGTGCTTTGTGGGCGAAAGAAGAGGCCGTTTGCTTCCATAAGATGTACAGCCTTGGAAACCCTATGGAAGGGCCTTATGAGTTGGAATCAACTCGATGGCAGTGAGTTGAAATATTAATAGTAATACCAATTATATCAGAAATAAAGAAAAATATATTAAAACTATTTATATGAAGTAATCTATTTTAAAATACCTTTGTCATTAATATTATAAGCAAATATCCTTTACCATATTATAATATAAATTAATGGTTTTAAAGGGGTTTTAAAAGCTTATCGCCCATCTGAGGCAACTGGACATCCCCTTACAGAAGGGTCTTGGGGAGGAGACGAGCCAGTCAGGGTGCAGTGTAGCAACGATGAAACATACAACTTTCCTCTGGTTCTTTCATGCTTCCCCCCCGCGTGCCCCACTATCATGATCCCAATTCTACCTTACAAATCTGGCTAGACCAGAGAATGTACACTGGTACAGACAGGAACTGGAAACACAGGGAATCCAGGACAGATGAATCCCTCAGGACCAGTGGTGAGAGTGGCGATAATGGGAGGGTGGAGGGAAGTAGGGGTAG